GATAAATGATGGTTACCATAGCAACCATATATTTCATTATGATGATCTTGATCTTATTTAGCATATTATTCTTGATAATTGATGGTTGCCATAGCAACCATTATCATCATTTTGATGATAATGTTCAAAATTAACATATCAATCATAATAAAATATGGTTACCATAGCAACCATAATTTTCATTATGATGATCTTGATCATATTTAGCATATTATTCATGACGAATGATGGTTGCAATTGCAACCATGATGATCATTATGATGATCTTGATCATATTTAGCATATTATTCATTATAAATGATGGTTACCATGGCCAGTATAATTTTCATTATGATGATGTTGATCATATTTAGCATATTATTCATGATAAATGATGGTTGCCATAGCAACCATATTCCTCATTATGATAATCTTGATCATATTTAGCTTATTTTTCATTATAAATGATGGTTGCCATGGCAACCCTAATTTTCATTATGATGATTTTGATCATATTTAGTATATTATTCATGATAAATGATGGTTACCATGGCAACCATATATTTCATTATGATGATCGTGTTCATATTTAGCATATTATTCTTGATAAATGATGGTTGCCATGACAACCATTATCATCATTTTGATGATAATGATCAAAATTAACATATCAATCATAAGAAATTATGGTTGCAATTGCAACCATGATGATCATTATGATGATCTTGATCATAATTAGCATAATAGTCATAATAAATTATGGTTGCAATTGCAACCATGATGATCATTATGATGATCTTGATCATAATTAGTATAATAATCATATTAAATCATGGTTACGTTGGCAATTATAATGATCATTATTATGATCTTGATCATAATTAGCATAATAATCATAAGAAATCATGGTTTTTACGGAAACCATGATAATCATTATGATGATCTTGATCATAATTAGTATAATATTCATAATATATTATGGTTACCATGGCAATTATGATGATCATTATGATGATCTTGATCATAGTTAGCATAATAATAATAATAAATCATGGTTGCTATAACAACGATGATGATTATTGTGATGACCATGATCATCATTAGTATAATAATCATAATAAATTATGGTTACCATATCAACCATAATTTTCATTACGATGATCTTGATCATATTTAGCATATTATTCAGGATAAATGATAGTTGCGATAACAACCATAATTTCCATTAGGATGATCTTGATCATATTTAGCATATTATTCATGATAAATGATGCTTTCCATGGCAACCATTATCATCATTTTGATGATAATGATCAAAATTAAGATATCAATCATAATAATTTATGGTTGCAATTGCAACCATGATGATCATTATGATTATCTTGATCAGAATTAGCATAATAATCATAAAAAATTATGGTTGCCATGGCAACCATGATGATTATTTTGATGACTATGATCATCATGATTATAATAATCATAAATAATTATTGTTACCATTGCAACCATAATTTCCATTAAAATGATCTTGAACATATTTAGCATATTATTCATGATAAATGATGGTTGCCATGGCAACCATTATCATCATTTTGATGATAATGATCAAAATTAACATATCAATCATAATAAATTATGGTTGCTATGGCAACCATTATCATCATTTTAATGATTATGATCAAAACTAACATATCAATCATCATTAATTATGGTTGCAGTTGCAACCATGATGATCATTATGATGACCGTGATCATAATTAGCATAATAATCATAATAAATCATGGTTGCTATGTAACCCATGATGATCATTATCATGATCTTGATCATCATTAGTATAATAATCATAATAAATTATAGTTACTATAGCAACCATAATTTTCATTAGGATGATCTAGATCGTATTTAGCATATGATTCATGATAAATGATGGTTGCCGTGGAAACCATTATCAGTTACCATGGAAACCATAATTTTCAATATGATGATCTTGATCATATTTGGCATATTATTCAGGATAAATGATAGTTGCGATAACAACCATAATTTCCATTAGGATGATCTTGATCATATTTAGCATATTATTCACAATAAATGATGGTTGCCATAGCAACCATTATCATCATTTTAATGATATTGATCAAAATTAACATAACAATCATAATAAAGCCGTATGCCAGCCGTGGACATAATCCCAAACGCTTCTGGTCCTTGTTCAAGCTCATTACTAAGACATGGAACATTCCTGAAAAAGTCTCGGTGAAAGTATCTGAAACTGAAAGAAGACTAGCAGAGAACCCACTGGATATTGCCAACCTCTTCAACAACTACTTTATAAGCATATTTGCTTGTGATCCAAATATCGACGACAGCAGCTCTGACACTGTTCCTCCTCAGAAGTCCTACAATACTATCATTAAGGACATTACTCTAACAGAAGCGGACGTATTATCTGTCTTATATGATCTAGACATTAATAAAGCTCAAGGCCCGGATGGGATTCCGGCACGATTGTTAAAAGAAACGGCTTACCAAATTGCTCCATCACTTGTTTAATAAATCACTGAGTACTGGTGATCTACCACGTGACTGGAAATTGGCGAATGTTGTTCCCTTCCACAAAAAAGACAACAAAGAGTATGTAGAAAACTACAGCCCAATTTCACTTCTCTCACTTATCTCGAAAGTATTGGAAAGATGCATCTTTAATAAGATCCAAGACCACGTTTTCGAACAGATAAACACTAATCAACATGGCTTTGTTCCTCGAAAATCCTGTATTACGCACCTCATTGAAGTCCTTGATTATATTGGCCGTCAACTTGATCAAGGGAAACAAGTGGATGTGATCTACTTGGACATGTCCAAGGCATTCGATCGAGTCAGTCATATGCAATTGTTGAATCGACTTCGTGACTTTGGATTCGGTGGCAATATGCTTAACTGGTTCAACTCTTACCTCAAGGACCGTCGCCAGCAGACTACAGTCCTTAGTGCAACATCATCAGCACCACCAGTGACCTCCGGAGTTCCGCAAGGATCAATCCTTGCTCCTCTTCTTTTCCTACTATATCAGGACCATCTCTCCAGCTCTATTAACCATTCTAAGATTGCCACGTTTGCTGACGATACAAAGGTTTACAGGGTGATAAACTCGGAAAAATACGCATCTGCTTTGGAGAGTGATGTTACGAACTTCCAAACTTCCTCTGCCAATGCTAATCTTCTCTTAAACACAGAAAAATGTAAGACACTTCGAATCACTAGAAAACTAAATAAAATCGACTATACCTACAGACTACAAAATTCCGCCCTGAAAACAATAGACAGTGAACGTGATCTCAGCGTTTGGACCTCTTCTACCCTCACCTGGTCCAAACAAGTCCTCCACCAATGCAACCAAGCCAATAAATCACTTGGGTATATCCGACGGTCCACTATAAAAATCAAGACAATCTCAGTTCGTCGGACCTTATATCTAGCACTCGTTCGTTCCCACCTGACTTATGCGTCCCAGGTCTGGGCTCCACAATCTGTTGATCTCATCAATCGCACAGAACGCATTCAAAGACGGGCGACGAAGTACATATTAGACCTCCCCTTCTTCTGTGAAATCAATTATAACCATTGTCAACATTAAATCTATTGCCTCTTTGTTACTGGCACGAGTACCTGGATATATTGTTCCTATTTAAATCACAAACCATGATGATCATTATGATGATCTTGATCATAATTAGCATAATAATCATAATAAATCATGGTTGCTATGGAAACCATGATGATCATTATGATGATCTTGATCATAATTAGCATAATAATCATAATAAATCATGGTTGCTGTGGGAACCATGATGATCATTATGATGATCTTGATCATCATTGGTATAATAAACATAATAAATTATGGTTACTATAAAAACCATAATTTTTATTATGATGTTCTTGATCATATTTAGGATAATATTCATAATAAATGATGGTTGCCATGGCAACAATTATCATCATTTTGATGATATTGAACAAAATTAACATATCAATCATAATAAATTATGGTTGCAATTGCAAATATGATGATCATTATGATGATCTTGATCATATTTAGCAAATTATTCATGATAAATGAGGGTTACCATGGCAACCATAATTTTCATTATGATGATCTTGATCATATTTAGCATATTATTTATGATAAATTATGGTTACTATGGCAACCATTTTTTTCAATATGATGATCTTGATCATATTTAGCAAATTATTCATGATAAATGATGGTTACCATAGCAACCATTATCATGATTTTGATGATAATGATCAAAATTAACATATCAATCATAATAAATTATGGTTGGAATTGCAACGATGGTGATCATTATGATGATCTTGATCATATTTAGCACATTATTCATGATTAGTTATCGTTACCATAGCAATCATAATTTTCATTAGGATGATCTTGATCATATTTAGCATATTATTCATGATAAATCATGGTTGTTATAGCAACCAGTATTTTCATAATGATGATCTTGATCATATTTAGCATATTATTCAGGATAAATGATGGTTGCAATGGCAACTATTATAATCATTTTGATGATAATGATCAAAATTAACATATCAATCATAATGAATTATGGTTGCAATTGCAAATATGATGTTCATTATGATGATCTTGATCCTATTTGTATAGGTAATAGCATAGTTTCGAGTGCAATTCGGAAAAAACATGCACGAGTGGGTTTTTCTAAGACTTCAAATTGCACGAGTCCGAAGGACGAGTGCAATTTGAAGTCTTAGAAAAACTCACGAGTGCATGTTTTTCCGAATTGCACGAGAAATTATGCTATTACCAATTAATAATATACATAAAAAAATTAAGAGACACGTGGTACCTATAATTATATGATAAATAATTTATTCAATTAACAAAATTCATTTCAATTCGTGTCAAAATAAAACTGTTTCAACGTTTCAACGTTTTAACTTTTCACAATAACAATACTAACAGTTCAATAAACGTTTATTCAGTGCCTGAATCACTCTCGATTATGTGAAATCGTCGTTTCCTTGATTGGTTGGCTGTAGATACTGGCGATCTGTTGCTGAGTTTGAATGTCACATTGCAGCCATGGAAAGTGTTTATCATATTGTGGGCTTGAGAATTCATTGTCGATTGTTTGGACATGATGTTGGCTATGGATGAGCTTCGCGGTTTCTCTTCTTGTGTATAATTCCTTCTTGAAATTGCCAAGGAAAGATTTTGTTGCTCCTGCTCGTCAGCTTCGTCGTAGTCATCCAGTGATTGTATATTTCTGTGGCCAGTAACCTTTGCAATGTCGGACCTTTCAAGGTTTGCCTTTTTCAGCTTACCAACCACTGTTTTACGGGCGCTGTGGTTTGAAAATTTTTTACCACTACATTCCAAACTCGTGCCAAATACAATATTTTTCATCATTGAATCGATCTTGTTTACTCCCATCGGCTGAACTTTGTACCAAATGTGGTCGTCAGGTCGTCTGTTGGTTTTCACCGAGAGATAAAATGGGCCGGTTTGCTGCAAACTTAAAGGCCTTCGGCTTACGTACTCCCGAAATAAAGCGACTGGGCATCTTTCTCCTTGTGTTTGAAACATTCGCGGTTGGAAATTTCGAGGCTTGCAATTCAAACCGCCTTGTCTGGTCTTCGTTGGCCCTTCTTTGTATTGTATGTACGCAACGCCATTGTCCGCTTCGACAATGCTGAAGTCGCCCATTTTCATTTGGTGATGCTCTTGCCTGCCCCGAAGACCAAAGTGCTGAGTAAGTAACCACCACATTGTTTGCACGAGTGCCTCTGGTGTTTTGGAGCCGAGTTTTTCTTTCTCCCAAAGGATTTCTTCTTCCTCTTGCGATAGCTGTCGTGCTTTATTTGGTCTCTTCCCTCGACCACTTTCTCGAAGCAACTTAGCTTTTCCCTCTAAAACTTGTTTGGAAGTCGTGAATTCTCTATCTCGTATTATGGAAAAAGTATATCCCCTTTCTCTGAGATGTCTGTCAAGGGAAGTTATCATTACTTTGAGGCTGTCTGGTTCGTAATCTTCACCCTGTTGATTTTTAACTTCAGCATAAAAACACTTCAACAAGTTATTTAAATCGACCGGCTCATATTTTTCATTTTCGTCAGATATTTTTTTTTCACAACACCATTGCTTCCACACTCGTAGCCAAAACAAGGTACTTTTGGCAGTATTTGCATTTCTAGAATTGTCCTGCAAATGCTGAATCGTAGACTCGGTCGCCAAAGAAAATCTACTGCCAGCCATTGTTATTATTGCTTTTTGTGAGAATAATTTAATTTCACCGCCTGTGAAAGATCTTATTTGATTGGCTTTTATGACTTACGTCATCGCTTGACTAACCAATGAGGAGCAATTATGCAATTAAGAAATTAGCACTGGGATTTCCTTTTTTTGGCACTGAGATTTCCTAAAAATTGCACTGCTCTAAACCAATCAGAATTGAGAAATTTTTTTATGTATATTATTAAGCATATTATTCATGATAAATGAGGGTTACCATGGCAACCATAATTTTCATTATGATGATCTTGATCATATCTACCATATTATTCATGATAAATGATGGTTACTATGGCAACCATCATTTTCAATTTGATGATCTTGATCATATTTAGCATATTATTAATTTAATAACTTTGTCAATGTAATAACAATAAATTGACACGGGAGCCGCAACAGCTAGTTGCCAATTACCGCTTACCGAATAATTACTTAACATAACAACAAAGCACAACATAACAAACATATAACAAAGAAACAAAGTTAATATAACACCAGACCAAGAGTGGATAAGATCGAGTAAATATGAAAACTGATCACCTCGATCAGTCAATTTATAAAACTGAATGAAATAGAAATTCACGTGGAATATATATATATAGGTTAATAGATCTTATTAACTCTCATTCTCGTATTATCTAACAACAGCAGGATATTGGACACGCAAGAATGCGCGCCAAGTTAAATTTTAGGCATATCGTTTTGAATGTTCCAGGATTTTCAAAGTCATAATTCACTGCTAAAGATTTATAATAATATTTTAGCAAGACTGTTTTGAAATAACTATAACTGTCCGTATCAAAATCCAACTCATCCACGAGTGCGTTCCATATGCGGCATGATCTGATCAGAAATGACTGTTGGTAGGTTGTGGTCTTACATATGGTTGGTCTAGGAACATCATATTTAGTGTTGTTACTTGATGAGGATCTTGTTTTTCTACGTGAGATTTGGATGACAGGGGAAACAGTCGTTTCGATCATGCCAGGAGTAATTTTGAAGAAGGTTAGGTCAAGGTATTCATGCCAGTAGGATATAGGAAGAAGGTGTAGGGTTTGCAATCTTGTGTTGTACGTAAAAGGGAAGGTTGAGGATATATTTCATTGCACGTCTCTGTGTTCTTTCTAATAAGTTAATGAGTTCAATGGTTTGTGGTGCTCAAATCTGCGAACAGTAGCCGTAGTGAGAACGAACTAATGCGAGATATAATGTCCGTCTTGGTGCTGAACTCGAGATAAACATTGTGTTTCTTCTAATGTAGCCTAGCAACTTGTTAGCTTTAGATGCCTGTTGATGAACTTGTGCATTCCACGTAAGGTTGGACGATACGCATACTCCAAGATCCTTCTCAATGTTACTTCAATGTAATAGGTGGTCGATTAAATTGTAATCAGATTATATTGGTTTAATCTTCCTGGTTATACGTTGCTGCTTACATTTCTCTTTATTAATCCTCCTGGCATTTAATGTTAGAGAACAATTTCGTATCGTCAGCGAACATTGCTACTTGGGACGTATTGACTGATTCAAAAAGATCATTAACATATAACAGAAACAAAACTGGTCCAAGAATTGATCCTTGTGGAACACCTGATGATACAGGAAGAGTGTTTGAGGTGGCACAAGTATTGTTACACGCTGGCGACGGCCTGATAAACACGATTGGAACCATTTCAGCAGACTACCTCCAAAACCGTAATCTCTCAACTTCATTAGTAAAGTCTGATGGCTAATCCGATCAAAAGCCTTAAACCTGTCAAGATATATCGTATCCACTTGACCTCCATGATCTAGAATTCTACCAACGTAGTCCAAAACTTTTAACAGTTTTGTTACACATGATTTACCTTCGAGAAAGCCATGCTGGCATTTGTTGATCAGCTGAAATAAATGATGTTTGATATTCAAGAAAATTCTGCGTTCTAATACTTTGGAGACAATCGATAACAGTGAGATAGGTCTGTAGTTTTCAGTTTTGGCTTTATCTCCTTTCCTGAACATGGGTACGACGTTTGCTAACTTCCATTCATCTGGAACAGATCCTAAGCGTAAAGATTTATTAAACAGCTTGCAAAGATATGGGGCGATGATGGAGGCAGATTCTTTGAGTAAACGTACAGGGATTTCATCAGGACCAGAAGCTTTGTTAATATCAAGAGCACGTAATGACGATTCCACTTCAAGTTTAGTCAGACTTATTTCTGTAATAATTGGTTTATTCCTGACATTTCTGGTTGATAGGCTGGGTAGTCCTAGGTAAATATAGATGCAAAGTAAGTATAGAACATGTTGGACATCATACAAGCATTTGTGGCCGTTAGTCTAGTTGAGGGTTGGTCATTTTGGTTGGCGGGATTGGATGTGGCAGGCATAGAGATGAAATCAGGGATGCTAGAGGTTTTTGATTTCTGCTTTAGAGTAGTCCAAAAGCGCTTAGGGTTGCCCTTAAAGCCATCGTTGACACAAGAGAAGAACTTTTCACGGCTTTCGCGTAGCAAACGTTTGACTTCCGATCGCATGAACTTGAACTTTTCTTTCATATGTTGAGTGGGAGTGGATGTCAATCTTCGGCGAATAGATTCTTTCTTCTTGATTAAGTGAAGAATATTGCTGTTGATCCATGGTAATGGATTCCGACCTCTAAGTTTCTTTGTTGGGATAAACTCGGCAACAAACGATAGAAAAGTACACTTCCAACGCTCCCAGTCAGTATCAATGTCGTCAGTTTCGGTAATCATTTCAGACAGATTGCTCTCTCTCAAGGCGGAAAAAGTCCATCCATATTACCCTTCGTGTAGTCATAAATTTTTCTTACTGATTTTTTTTATTTTTTGACAAAGCGGAGAAATCGAACACGATGGAGTGATGGTCAGTAAATATAGAAGTGTCATTCGGCGATAATATTTGCATATGATTAACATTGTCGGGCACGTTGGTGATTACAAGGTCTAATACGTTATTGCCACGTGTTGGGATACAGTTTAGTTGAGACAAATAATGATCGTTCAGTATTTGTAAGAACAGAAGCTCATTGACACCAGTTGCGCTCTCCATTGTTTCCAATGATAGTTGCCATGGCAACCATAATTTTCATTATGATGATCTTGATCATATTTATCATATTACTCATGATAAATTATGGTTACCATAGCAACCATAATTTTCATTATGATGATCTTGATCATATTTATCATATTATTCATGATAAATGATGGTTACCATAGCAACCATAATTTTCTTTATGATTATCTTGATCATATTTAGCATTTTATTCAGGATAAATGATGGTTGCCATGGCAACTATTATCATCATTTTGATGATAATGATCAAAATTAACATATCAATCATAATAAATTATGGTTGCAATTGCAACCATGATGATCATTATGATGATCTTGATCATCATTAGTATAATAATCATATTAAATTACGGTTACTATGGCAACCACAATTTTCATTATAATGATCTTGATCATATTTAGGATATAATTCATGATAAATAGTGGTTGCCATGGCAACCATTATCATCATTTGATGATAATGATCAAAATTAATATATCAATCATAATAAATTATGGTTGCAATTACAACCATCATGATCATCATTTGATCTTTATTATATTTAGCATATTATTCGTGATAAATTATGGTTACTATGCCAACCATTATCATGATTTTGATTATAATGACCAAAATTAACATATCAATCATATTAAATTATGGTTGCAATTGCAACGATGGTGATCATTATGATGATCTTGATCATATTTAGCATATTATTCATGATTAATTATAGTTACCATGGCAATCATAATTTTCATTAGGATGATCTTGATGATACTTAGCATAATATTCATGATAAATCATGGTTGCCATGGCAAACATCATCATTTTGATGATAATGATCAAAATTAACATATCAATCATAATAAATTATGGATGCAATTGCAACCATGATGGTCATTATGATGATCTTGATCATAATTAGCATAATATTCATTATAAATGATCGTTGCAATGGAAACCATGATGATCATTTTGATGATCTTGATCATAATTATCATAATATTAATCATAAATGATCGTTGCCATAGAAACCATGATGATCATTATAATGATCTTGATCATAATTAGTGTAATAATCATAATAAATTATGGTTACGATGCAACCATGATGATCTTTATGATGATCTTGATCATATTTAGCATAATAATCATAATAAATCACAGTTGCTATAGAAACCATGATGATCATTATGATGATCTTGATCATAATTAGTATAATATTCATAATAAATTATGGTTACCATGGCAACCATGATGATCATTATCACGTTGGTCAAAACGTTCGAAAAATCCCCCATTACAATGCAAAAGCTCAGGTGATAATAGCCATTGAAGAACTGAATTAATTTTTCACGAACCAATGACCCCTAATTTGTTGCGATTTTAAACCTTATAAAACACATTTATAAAGTTCTTAGCATGTTTAATTTGAAGTTACACCTTTTAGCTTCTGAATTAAATGATGATCGAGTAAAATTATGCTCATTTCATGTTTATTTACTGCAATTTGCGCAGCCCACTTTTAGGCAAATAATAATTTCCAGAGGTCTGGATTTGAGACCAAACTTTATTCTTATGGGTAGGGAGGGTTGTGGTCGTAATAATCTTTTTTTTTACTTTAGGTACCCGAGACATTACCTAAAATCCTACGGGATATTCCACGAAGTTCAACATTATAGCAAGATTTTTGGTCATCATTCGTTAATATCTCTTTTGAAATATGTTCTATTGGAGTATTTCGAAGTCAAAATCGTAAATTCAACTGTATTTTACAAAAAACCTGTTGTTTGAGTGACTG